ATATATGAATATATAATATATAATGTATTATATATATATATCATACAATATAGTCTCTGAAAAGAAAGAGTTGGGGGAGAGTAAAGAAAATGTCTGAAGAAATAATGACTGAAAAATTTCCAAACTTGAAACTGTAAACCCACACAAAAAAGGCTTAATGAGTCCTTCATACAAGAAACATGAAGGTTAATTGAATGTACCCAACTACCCACGGATGCTCTTTTCTTTTAAATTATTTCTTTCTTTTGTTTCATTTTGAATAGTTTCTATTGCTACATAGTCAAGTTTCTTTTCCAAGACCTAGTTGCCACTAATCTATTCCAGTATATTTTTCATCACAGACTCCTAGCTTTCATTTAGAAAGTTCGATTTGGGTCTTTAAAAATATTTTTGCATCTTTAGTTAACTTCTTGAACATCTGGAATACATTACAACAATTGGTTAATATTCTTGTCTGCTAATTCTAACACCCATGTTAATTTCACTTGGTTGATTTTTTTACCTTAATTACAGGGCCTGTTTTCTTGCTTTCATACATGGCTGGTATCTTTGATTGCAAGTCAGACATTATAAATTTCCTGGTGACTCCAGGAAGCTTTCTTGAAGCAATATTTGAGCTGAATATTGAAGAATATGAATAGATTAAAAAGATAAATGAGAGTGAAAGCATTTAAAGAAGAGGGATCCATATATGCAAAGGACCTGAGTGTATGTCTTTGCGTTTTTGAGAAAATAAAAGAATGATACTGTTTTTTCGGAGCAAATAAAAAGAATAATTAAAAGTCTTTGGGGATGAAGGCATGGGCAGACCATGCCTTGCTTTCTTCAGGGGTCTTAGGCATTTGAAATTTTTTCAGCTTCATGGAGGTAAAATTGAATATAAAATGGTAAGTTTTAAACTGTACATTGTGGTGATGGTGATATTCATAAACACTGTGAAAGAATGTCCTCCATCTACTTAATTAACACATCTATCATCTCTTAAATTTATTTGTGTATGTATGCATGTACATGTGTGTGTGTGTGATAGAGAGAGAACATTTAAGTTCTACTCTCAGCAAATTTCAGTTACACAATACAGTATTTTTAACTGTACTCATCATGTTCTACATTAGCTATTCAGAATGGAGACATGCTAGAATGGAAAGTTTTCACCCTTTCTTTAAGTTCTCTGCTGCTAAGCTCTCCCAAGCCCCAGCCCCTGACAACCACTTTTCTACTCTTGATTTCTAGAAGTTTGACTTTGTTTTCCTTAAGATTCTTCATATATGTGATACCATGCAGTCTTTGTTTTTGTCTGGGTTATTTCACTTAGCATAAAACCTTAAGGTCCACCCATATTGTTGCAAATAGCTGCATTTTTCTTTCTTATGGTTGAAAAATATACGTATACACATACATACACACACACACACACACACACACACACACACCCCTGCCGCCGTATCTTTTATCCATTCATCTGTTGATGGACATTTAGCTTATTTATGTATCTTGGCCATTGTAAATAGTGCTGCTGTGAACATGGCCAGGTAAATACCTCTTTGAGATACTGACTTCATTTCCTTTGGATGTGTACCCAGAATTAGGGTTGCTTAGATCATATGGTAGTCCCACTTTCAATTTTTTTAGGAACCTTCATACTGTTTTCCACAGTGGCTGCACTAATTAACTTTCCTATCAACAGTCCACAAATGTTCCCTTTTCTCCACATCCTTGCCAATACGTGGTATCTCCTGTCTTTTTGATGACAGCCGTTCTAACAGGTATGAGGAAATATATTATTTGTGATTTTGATTTGCATTTCTCTGATGATGCTGAGTACCTTTTCATGTACCTGTTGGCCATTTATATGTCTTTTTTGAAAAAAATCCAGGTTTTTTTTTTGTGCTATCGAATCATGTGAGTGTTTTATTAATATATATTTTGCATATTAACCCTTCATCAGATATATGATTTGTAAATATTTTGTCCTGTTTTCTTTTTGGAAATATTTATTTATTTGGCTGCATTGGGTCTCAGTTGCAGCTTGTGGGATCTTCTTTGCAACGTGTGGGGTCTTTCACTGTGGCACGTGGGCTGAGTCGCCGCTCACTATGCCCCTCACTTAGTTCCCCAGCCAGGTGTTGAACCTGCAACCCCTGCATTGGAAGGCAGATCCTTAACCCCTGCACCACCAGGTACACCCCTTTGCCCATTCTTTAGGTTGCCTTTTTATTTGTTAATGGTTTTCCTTTGTTGTGTGGAAGCTTTTTAGTTTGATGGATCCGCCCTTGTTTATTTTTGCTGTTATCACCTTTGCTTTTGGTGTCAAATCCAAAAAAAAAAAAACATTGTCAAGCCAATGTCAAGGAGTTTATCTCCTATATTTTCTCCTAGGAGCTTTATGGTTTCAGACTTTATTTCAGTCCTTAATCCATTTTGAGTTGGTTTTTGTTAGTAATGGTTTAAGATAGTAATCTCATTCTTTTGTATGCGGTTGTCCAGTTTATTGAAGAGACTGTCCTTTTCCTTTCCCTATGGTTTATTCTTGGCTCCTTGTCAGAAATTAATTCATCATTTATGCATGGGTTTATTTCTAGGATTTCTAATCTGTTACATTGATCTATGTGTCTGTTTTTATGCCAATACCACACTGTTTTGATTATTATAGCTGTGTAATGGATGCTTATAAAGAAAATCAGGAAGCATGATGTTTCCAGTTTTGTCCTTCTTTCTCAAGATTGTTTTGGCTATTCAGGGTATTTTGTGGTTCCATACAATTTTTAGGCATTTTGGTCCTCATCCTATGAAGGGTTGTAATCTTGTAAGGGTTTTAATCAAGTTCAGAATTTTCATAAAAATCACTCCAACTTCAGGATGGAGAATAACTTGAGTGGGGTTTCTGGGCAGAAGAGGTTGGATATGTTAGGAAACTAGGGTACATTTCCAAGTGAGAGACAAATTTGGTTTGTACCAGGGTGGAAATGAGATGGAAAGAGGTGGGTTGACCTGAGATGACAAATGTAGTGTGATTCTTGAATCCCTCTTGTCTGCATTTCATCATATCAGTCACCAAGTTCATGTAAACCTCTTCTAAGGGGAATATTCTCACAGAGTGAGTACATTTCTTATTAAAATTCTCATAAATATATATTTTTAAAAATTTTGAACATCTTGCACGGTACCCCACAAAGGGAAACTAACTTGTTTCTGGAAAGGATTCTAGCAACCCTCTTCTGATGTTTGCTCAAGAATTCCCCTGGAGCACTCAGTAATGAAAAACCTCATTCCAAAGGCCTGGTTCAATAGCTTTCAAACATTAGATGTATCAGAAACCACCTGATGAGCTTGTTCAAACACAAGTTTCTCCGTCAAACCCCCAGAGTTTCTAATTCAGTAAGTATGAGTTGGGGCCTGAGATTTTTCACCTGTATCAAGTTCCCAGACAATGCCAGTGTTCCTGGTCTGGGAACTAGTGTGAGAACCACTAGACAATTAGAGGTGAGGTAGTCAAGAGGTGAACTTCTGGGATTAGACACAAAACTGTCCCTTTCTAGTGATATGACTTGATATGACTTGGGCAAAATCACCTGTGGGTGCTTTTGTTTCCTTATCTGAGTCTTAATGAAGGTTGTTCATTAAGAATGAGGGATGTTCATTTTTTTCATTTTAAAGGTGTGAAATGCCTTTTATTTTTTAATTAAAGTACAGTTGATTTACAATATTGGGCCAATCTCTGCTGTAGAACAAAGTGACTCAGTTGTACTCATATATACTTTCTTTTAAAGTATTCTTTTCCATTATGGTTTATTGCAGGATACTGAATGCAGCTCCCTATGCTATACATCAGGACCTTACTTATCCATTCTGAATGTAATAGCTGGCATCTGCCAACCCCAAACTCCCAGTCCATCTTCCTTCCTCCCCTCTCCCCCTTGGCAACCACGAATCTGTTCTTTATGTTTGAGTCTGTTTCTGTTTTGTAGGTGGGTTCGTTTGTGCCATATTTTAGGTTCCACATGTAAGTGATATTATATGGTACTTTTCCCTTCTTACTTCACGATAATCTCTAGTTGTACCCATGTTGCTTCAAATGGCATGATTTCATTGTTTATAGCTACATAGTATTCCACTGTATATATGTACCACATCTTCCTTATCTTTTCATCTATTGATGGACATTTAGGTTGTTTTCATGTCTTGGCTATTGTGGACAGTGCTGTTATGAACATAGAGGTGCAGGTATTTGTTTGAATTACAGTTTTCTCCTGGGAAGGAGTGGGATTGCTGGATCCTATGGTAATTCTATTTTTAGTTTTCTGAGGAACCTCCGTACTGTTTTCCACAGTGGCTGCACCAGCTTACATTCCCACCAACAGTGTAGGAGGGCTCCCTCTAGAATGAAGACTGTTTATAAAGTTAGGCTAGGTACACAGTGAATGTAGATACATTCCTATGAAAAGAAAATGACTTTTATGTGCCTAGGACATGCTACAATTTTCAGTGTAAAGCAGGACAGATAACTCTTTTAGCTCATTCTTGGAAAACGCTCGTCAAAGTTCCATGTTATGACATAGTGGAAGTCTTTAGGCAACAGCCTTGAAGGGAAACCTCCGAGTTCTGCTCTGCTTCATCTCCATGTCCTCAGTTCTGGTAAATTCCTACCAGGGTGTGTGTTAGATGTTTGCCTGCCTCTGCCCTCCCTCTGATCCCCATGACCTTGACAATGAGCCTGTCCCTAGACAGGGTGTCCCATCTGGGAATAGCCAGTTGATGAGGGGGCAGAGAGCTGACTCTTCCATGCTCTTGGGAGACAGCTGTAGGCAATTTTTCCCAGGTTGCATAAGCCATTGGTTTCTGAAACAGAAAGACAGCCTCTGCCAGCTATTAGCTGACCTCATGGAGATAGTCATGGTGTGCCAAGAGGAGGTGTGGGGAGGAGACGACCCATGGGAGACCCTCTTATTTGAATGTTAGATCTGCCCAGATTCATCAGCAATAAGCGATAAATGGCTTACCTACACATTCCATCTCTTAAATTTCCATGGATAAAGGTCTCTACCTGGAGCTTGTACATGAGAATCTAATAGTTTTCCAGAGTAACCAAAGGGACTAGTTGAATGAAACCAGAACCAGAAGACTAGTTAGCTTTGCTGAAACCACCCGTCAGTCACTCTGCAGGTATAGCTGGGGAGGTAAGGCAGTCGGTGCAGTCTTTTTTTGAGCTTCTGAAGAACGTGTGAAATCCAAAATGTGGGTCACAGGAGAAAGCTGAGTTTTATAAAGAGGCTTCCTTAACCAAAAGTTAAACCTAGGATAAGGAAAATGTACCCTTTACTTGGACCTTCATGCACTGTGCACATTTTGGGTGATTTACAAACATTGTGAATCATCTCCAGAGTGACCTTTCACCATGCAGTTAATGTTCAACATTTATTGACGCCCCGTGATGGGAACATCTTTAAAGTTTGGCATGACTCTGGCCTGGAGGGGTTGTGGGTTTTGTGTTTGGGGATGTGAGGACTCTGAACTTTGAGTCCTTGGGTCCTTGCATCTCTCTGGGGAAATGGATGCAAGCGTGAGGGTCTGGAGAGCTAGGAAGCATAAGTCAGAGAGTTCCTGCACTTTGCTGTCTCTGTATGATCTCTTTTTATCCCCATGTTGATGTGGCCTGGGCTAACAACATGTACGTTTGGGGAGATGTCAGTTTTCTAAATGGTCAGAAAAACATCGTGTTTTCCTGTTATGGCCAAAATATAATCAAAGAATCTGATAGTTTAAATCAAAACAAAGATTTTGGAGTATTAAAACTATTATCTAATATCTAAGATGATGCCCATTTAAAAATAGATCATCATTCCAAAGGAGGGAAGCCCTTCGGAATTCATGTTGTTGTTCATTCATTTTTCCCTTTAATCATTCTCCCTGGGTGATCCCCCACCAGAGTGGGGATATGTTGTGTGTCTTGCGTGCATGGGTAAATGAGAGTTCAGACTGGACCTTTTGGGGTTGGAATGAGCACCATTTTTCTGGAAGCAAATGGAAATAGAAAACACACGAATGAAACGGCAAAGTACTTACAGGGCATCCTGAATATCTACGCCCCTCTCTGGGGCCAGTTAGAGTTCCTTGGCTGGTCATCTCTGACTATAGCTCATCTGTACGCTCCAATGGGACATTCAACCAGCACACCTTTACCGAGCACCCACTCACTATGAGCTGAACTTGTTTAGGTGCTTGGAACATCTCAGTGAACAGAGCAGATAAAGACACCTGCTGTCTAGCAGGGAATAGTTATTTATGATTAACGGAAGGACACATATCATCACATGTCATTCTCCGTTTGCCAAGATGCAAGACTGCTAGGACTGTTTAGACTAACCACCAGGGGGCAGCCTACCCCATGGGCTTAGCCTGGCTGCTAAGGCTGCCTGTCTTCTACTGTGTATTTAAGGCAGGCCCTGGGGGATTTTACCAAGAAGGAGGGGCACAGTTGGGTCTCTGTCCTGAAACAGGGGAATGTCAGAGGGGGCTAGAAAAGAAGGTATTTAGGGATTAGGAAGGGCAGGTTATTGCTTCTCTTTCTGCCCCAGTCTGTCCTTTTACAGGGAGGGGTTTCCAAGCCAGGTCTGATGGTGTGTGTGTAGCGGGGTGGGCAGGCAGTAGGTTCTTCAACAACTAACTCCCTAAGCCTGGAATCTGAGTCTGGGAGCGGCCCTACGTGGGGTAGGCAAACTATCTTTCAAAGGTTTGCATGTCCTCTTTGGAAAGTGGGAGCCAGAGATAAGCAAACATTCTATTATAAAAATCATGTTCTTAACTACTATTTTAAACATCTCTAAGTTTGAAGAATTAATAATGGAAACATAAAATATATTTAAACTCTTTAGGATATGCTTGGAGACATTTGTTTATTGTTTGTTATTCCAGTAAAACCTTTTAATATGTATTATACCTCACCAGAGACATTACTTTGCCAACAAAGGTCCATCTAGTCAAGGCTATGATTTTTCCAGTAGTCATGTATGGATGTGAGAGTGGAACTGTAAAGAAAGCTTTTGAACTGTGGTGTTGGAGAAGACTTTTGAGAGTCCCTTGGACTGCAAGGAGATCCAACCAGTCCGTTGTAAAGGAGATCAGTCCTGGGTGTTCATTGGAAGGACTGATGCTGAAACTGAAACTCCAATATTTTGGCCAACCTGATGCGAAGAGCTGACTCATTTGAAAAGACCCTGATGCTGGGAATGATTGAGGGCAGGAGGAGAAGGGGACGACAGAGGATGAGATGGTTGGATGGCATCACCGACTCAATGGGCATGAGTTTGAGTAAACTCTGGGAGTTGGTGATGGACAGGGAGGCCTGGAGTGCTGCAGTCCATGGGGTCGCAAAGAGTTGGACACGACTGAGTGACTGAACTGCACTGAACTGAACTGATACCTCACCCTTTTCCTTGGAGTTTCAGACATTTGTTCAACTTAATATAGTGAAAAAAGTGGAAGTGTTAGTTGCTCAATCATGTATGACTCTTGTGACACCATGGACTGTAGCCTGCCAGGTTCCTCTGTCCATGGAATTCTCCAGGCAAGAATACTGGAATGGGTAGCCATTCCCTTCTCCCAGGGATCTTCTCGACCCAGGGATTGAACCTATGTCTTCCTCATTGCAGGCAGTTTCTTTACTGTCTGAGACACCAGGGAAGCCCTCAACTTAATATAATATTTCCCTGAAAGGTTCATCTTTGGAATCTTTTAGTTTCCTCAAAGATCTGTTAACATCTTGCTTAACCTGGTATTCTACAACCTTTCTATTTGAAGTGTGACCTGTGGACCAGGAGCAACAGCATCATCTGGGAGCTTGTTAGAAATGCAGAATGGCAGCCCCCTCCCTGGACTGTGAGTTGTCCCATTAAATTCCTATATGTGTTAAAGTTCCAAAGTGCTGCTCTATGGGATGCATGTGAAGAAGTGCTTCATTAGAGAGAAAGAGTGACAGGATAATGTGGAGAAGTTTGCAGCACTTTGTAGATTATTTCCAGAGTTCCCACATAGAATGTGGACTCTCTAGATGTTCCTTGAGCTGACTGAACTGGGCTATCTTCCTCATATTCCTACTTGCCTTTACTAACTCATCATGGCTCGAGGCCTTTATTAAAATCCTGACTGGAGATCTTGAATCAAGCTTTAAAACTTAAGTAACTTTGAAATGAGGTCAAAGTCAGAATATTCAGTGCGGATCCTTAATTAGAAAAGTATGTCCTCAGGCTGGGTAGATCCTGAACAGTTTGCCAATAAGAATGATAAATTCAAAAGAGGCAAATTAGCACTGAGTTGTGTTCATGGCTGCTTCCATAAGATGCAAGCAAAGTTACTTTTTCTTTCCTTCAATTTCATTTTTCACGTGAGGATGATAAACGTTCTCTCTTGTAATTTTCTTTTATAATAGTGATTCTTTTTGTTTTGCATTGCCTGGACATCTCAATATGGACAGCACAAGAATTTACATCCTATCTTAATTCTTAGCGTATATTGATTTTTTAAATTTACTGGAGTCAATTTCTTATGCAACCATATTTTATTCAGCATAAAAATTAGTGCCAATTTTAAACATTTATAGAGTTGTTTCTCCAAGGAAAAGCACATACTAGAAAGAGAAACAAAAATGTCATTTAATGAGATTCAAATGGCTTTGGCCAGATGACTATAGAAACATCTCCTTATCCAGAACAGTCACTGGAAGTCCATTTGTGAAATGATATCTGTCTAATTTCTGTTTACTTTGTAGAGAAAGAACATTTTCTGAGAAATCAAAACAAGTGGCAATTTGCATTTTCTTGTTAGACTGATGTGAGAGATGGGGGGAAGACACAATATGTAAAGCTGAATTTCCCCATTTATGCATATAAAACACATATATTTTAAGTAAATATATTAATGGATCTTACAATGTTGCTTTTCAGAAATTTTCTTTTTGTGTTTTGCTTGTCTGACCTCCTTGTCCCCCCAAGCTACCGCCTTTCCTCCTGCACAGATGTGACAGCAGGATTCCATGTGTGCAATGATTTTCATCACACAAGTGGAATTGCCCATAGGTATTGTTCATTGCACACATACTTGTCTGCCTGTATGTACATTGATGCAGAGAGCTTTTCTTCATTGTTTTAAGAATCGGATAATAAAATATGCAATATTCTGAATTTGGTCTCTCTGACTCCATAATTGCTCATATACTTGCAAAGTCATTAAATATAGCTCTAATTCATCCTTTTCGATGGTTTTGGTGTGAATGAACCAGAATTTATTTGAACATGCCTTTGTGAATAAGCATTTATTTCCATTCCTCCCTTTTGCCAATATGAACAATGCTGCAATAAATGCTTATGTCCTCGCAATTAAAAATTTTTTTTTTAAAAGAGCAGTTTAGGTTCACAGCAAAAATAAGAGGAAGGAATAGGGATTTCTCTGCCCTCACACATGCATAGTCTCCTTTGTTATCAATACCCCACCAGAGTCGTGCATTTGTTATAACTGATGAACCTACACTGACATATTATAGTCACACAGAGGCCATAGTTTACCTTAGGGTTCGGTCCTGGTATTGCCTATCCTATTGGTTTGGACAAATGTATAATGACATGTGTTCATCATTATACATACAGAAGAGTTTCACTGCCCTAAAAATCCTCATTTCTCTGCCTTTCATCTTTCTCTCCTAACATCTGGCACTGATCTTTCTATTCTCTCTCTAGCTGTGCCTTTTCTAGAATGTCAAGAAACTGTAATCATATATGTCCTTGCATTTTTTACTTCTGCCAGGTAGATGAAGGTGGATATAGAAGCTTTAGTTTTAAATTTTGATCCCTTTTTACTCTTTTTTAAAAATTATTTTATCTTGAAGTATAATTAGTTAACAGTGCTGTGTTAGTTTCAGGTGTATAGCTGAGTGATTCAGTTATACAAGCAGATATATCTATTCTTTTTCAAATTCTTTTCCCACTTAGATTATTACAGAGAATTGGTTTTTTTGCTCTTCTTTATCTGCTATAGATGCTGCAAACTTACCCTGCAGAGCCTTCACAG